CAGGAGCACCTGGACACCAGGAAAGGTTTCCTGGCTCCTCTGCCCCAGCCCACAGCGAGATCCAGGAGATCACAGAATTCCCTGAGATTTTGGAGGATTCTGGAAGTGGGGTGTGGCTGGGAATGAAATTATTGGAATATTGGAAATTTCCCACTCTGGGTGCTCAGGAAAAGGGCCGGGCTGGATTCTGAGTTTTCCAAACCTCCAACATCTTCTCCAAGACCATGCAGGGCTCCACATCTGCTTGAGGGAGGTTCTTCTCTGGTTCACTGTGAACGGGTCAAAACAAAATCGCTTGCAAAAAAGTGAAGGGAAACAACCAAAATGACTCCAGAGCTCCTCAGGGGAGGGCACAGAAGGTGCCTCAAGGGGCCTCTGGCTGCTCAGAGAAGGTTAAAGCCAGAAATTTGGAGTTTTGCTGCTCCATGGCCCTGTTGTCACAGGTAAAACATGGACAGAACCATCAGCAACCACAAATCTGAGCATTCCCTGTCCTGCATCCACTGGGGAAGCAGCCAGGGGTCCATAATTCCGGTGTTAAAGCCTAAAAATGGTGCAGAAAATCGTGCAGAGCTCGATGTAGTTAGTGGTGGTGTTTGAGCCATTGGAAATTGGTGAGGCAGGAACATTTTGAGGCATTAAAGGAAAATTTGGGGTCTATAAGGGAGGGGGTGGGAAAAAAAACAACTGAACCTGATGAATGCAAATAGGCCTTGCTTGAGATCCTGAACTGCATTTCATTACTTTGAAAATATAATTAATGAGGGAGGGCAGGGACTGTTTGTGAGGAGTTTGAGGACAAAAGTTGTTTCATCTCGGATTGTTTGATCACATCCTCGTTCTTTGGGGCCTCTTTGGAGCGAGGCTGGCACTTTGCTGAGTCTCAAAGAACAGTTTCAGATTTATTTGCACGTTTGCTGCTCCTTTGCAGCTCCGTGGGCTGGTGACGTTCCCAAAAATCCACTGGCAGGGGTCTGCAGCAGCATCTCCCACGTTCTGCTGGTTCATCTGAGAATCCTGGAATGGTTTGGGTGGGAAGTGACTTTGGAGATTATTCCATCCACGGCCTGCCATGGCAGGGACCCCTCCCACTGTCCCAGGGTGCCCCAATGTCCAGCCTGGCCTTGGCTATCCAGGGATCCAGGGGCAGCCACAGCTGCTCTGGCAATTCCAGCCCAGCCAGGAATTCCCAATTCCCAATATTCCATTAAATCTCTTTGAGTTTATAACCATTCCCCCTCGTCTCTGCCTGTGTAAAAACCCCTTAACCTTTAATTTATCTTTAATTTCTGTGTCGCACCCCATGAAAATTTCTCAGCACATAACTGATGCCACAGAGACAAAATCCATGGCATGGCTCAATTTTCTTGGCATTTTGGAATGCCCCCCTGGAAATTTCCTCCTGGAAATGGAGGTGCAGGAATCTACAGCTGAGGAAAACCCAAGCCACTGTTTTATGGGATGGCTGGACAGAGGAAATTATACAAAAACCCCTTTTTCCTTTACCTGGTGGGTTTGGATCAAGCTCAGCTCAGGTGTTCCCAACGTGGTGGAAATCAGGAAGCTCTGAAGGGATTTTGGAGACCTCATCCAGAGTCATGGAATGGTTTGGGTTTGAAGAACCTTAAGGACCATTCACTTCCAACCCAGTTCTGCTTGCAAGAAACAGCTCTGACCCAAACTTTGAGGTTCTTGTCTTTTCTTACCTCGGAATTTGTGCTTTTCCACAAAGGAAAGTTACCCTGACTTCCCTGCTACACTTTGTTCAGTCCCAGGCAGGAGAAACTGCTGAAAACTCAGAAATAAAAATAGTTTATTGAGGTTATGAGCAACTAATTTGGGCTGAAACGTCGCTCTGGTCGTGCCCATGGAGTTCTTTTTTGGTTTTCCCCTGCCTGAAAAGGATCTGCATTAAATATTGAGGGGTTTTTGTGTGTGTAAGCATTGTTTGTGCTGTTATTTCCACACACACACACAAAAAGCTCAGCTCGTGCCTCAGAGTTTAATTCTCTGGCAGTTTCCAACTGGTTCAGCCTCGTGATCCCAACTTGGTAGTGCTGATTCCTGGGAATTGGCTGAGAATTCCCCAAGGGATGGAGAACTGCTAGGCAAAAAGGAGCGCAAAAAATTCCATTCTTGATTAAAGCCATGGAACTCCCTTAAATAAATATATGTAAATGAATAATGTAAATAAATTAAATAATTAATGAATAAATAAAATCAACCAGTTGGATGCTTTTGAGATGTGGTTGGAACCGAGGAGCAGCATCCGAAGTGACGCTTTTCCTAGAAAAATACCAAATTTTCCATTCTCTCCTTGAATACGTTGCCTTACTCAATGGAAGAAGCCTCTCCTACCCCTGTGGAGCTGAGGGTAAATAGCTCAAATTTAGGCTTTGTCCCCCCACTTTGGAAAGAAAACCTAATAAATAGATAAATAAATAAACAAATAAATAATTAATTAAAATTCCTTTCCGAGCTATGGAAGTGTTAATTCTTTTCCAGGTGCTGGGAGTGCTCGTTCAGTGTTGAATTTGCAAGTCCTTGTTTAAGGAGCTACTGAATTACCAAAATTGAGTCGGAATTAGTAGAACTGAGTTGGAATTTGCAAAATTGAGCTGGAATTTGCAAAATTGTGTCGGAATTTGCAAAATTGAGTTGGAATTACCAAAATTGAGTCGGAATTAGTAGAACTGAGTTGGAATTTGCAAAATTGAGCTGGAATTTGCAAAACTGAGTTTGAATTGACAAAATTGAGCTGGAATAAGCAAAACTGAATCTGAACTCACATTTTCACCACTCGTGGATGGAGTAGACGGATATTTTTAGTATGTCCAAAGTGTGGAATCTCTAAAACCCTGCAGGGCCTGAAGGGGCTCCAGGAGAGCTGCAGAGGGACTGGGGACAAGGGATGGAGGGACAGGAGCCAGGGAATGGCTCCCAGTGCCAGAGGGCAGGGATGGATGGGAGATTGGGAATTGGGAATTCCTGGCTGGGCTGGAATTGCCAGAGCAGCTGTGGCTGCCCCTGGATCCCTGGCAGTGCCCAAGGCCAGGCTGGACACTGGGGCACCCTGGGACAGTGGGAGCTGTCCCACCCTATGGAAAGGGTGGAATGAGATGGGATTTAAGGTCTCTCCCAACCCAAACCATTGTGGGATTCTGTGAAATGGATCCAGGACAATGGGAAAGGGAAGAGGAACCCAGGGAATTGTGAAACCTCTCAGTAGAAATCTCCATAAATGGTGGATATCAATATTTATCTTTAGTACTTCTACCCAGCCTGGGGATCTGTACAATTTCTAACCAATATTTTTGGTTTGGGTCCATCCAGATGGAAAAAACCACTTGGATACACCCATAAACATCCTTTGGCACATCTCTATATGGAAAAAAAATATTTTTGGGTTGTGTCAGGAACATTTTATATTCAGTTCATCAAAAAATCTCTGTCTTTGAAAGGTTAAATGCCTGATCCTGAAGCATTCTCTCAAAAAAAAAATAACCCAAAAAATCAGGACCATCCTAACCCTCAGTTGATGTCAGTGGGGATGGAGTTTTGGAGAGTTTTAAGTTTTTCATTTACAGAAAATTGAGGTGAGTGAGATGCAGGAATATTTTATTCCTGGAGACTGAGGATGGAATGATGGAATGCCAGGATAAGAGGTTTCTTTATGAGGAAGATGGTGGGAAATGAGGTTTTCCAGAGCTGCTTTGTCCCTGCTCTGGAGGTTATCCCTTAAAAAATCCCCATGTGAAACCCTGAAATTTCCTTATCTCTGGTGGGAGGTGGAGAATTAATTGGATTTGTACTTGGGGTTTGGATAGTCTTGGATGCAGGAGAGATTCGAGACGGATTGGAGGTGACCCCGCTGGTTGTGCCAGTGATTTTCGGGTGATATTTCCCTTTTTCTGGTGCTCTGACAGGGCAGGAAGGACGAAAAGCCAGGAAATCCCTCCAGAGGTGGGAAAAAAACCCTGAAACCTCAGGAATTATTTTGGTTGGCAGCAGCTAAGCCTGATTTAGGCGCTGGGACTTTCTAGTTTTCATTGTGGAGGTGACAGTGCTTCACAGCTGCTTTATCCGTGATGGAATTTAATCAGGATTTCAGTTCCTAGGAAAAGTTATCCATGTGTTTAGCATGTGCTTTGGAAGGTTCAAGGGTTAGGGTTAGGGGTTCCACCAAAAAATCCCAGAATTATTGGGGTGGGAAGAAACACTCCAGTTCATCCTATTCCATCCCGGGATCAAGGACATCTCCAACTATCCCAGGTTGCTCCAAAAAAAAACCAAACCTGGCCTTGAAAACTGGTTTTTCCAGGGATGGAGCATCCATTGGCTCTCCAGGGAACCCATGCCAGTGTTTCATCCTAAAAATCAGAAAAGCATATTTCATATGTAAAAATATTATAGAAAATATTATATATTCCTTATATAAAAATAATAGAATCAATTTCTGCCTGATATCTTGTTTATTTCCACAAAAAAAAAACAAAAAGCTCGGCTCATGCCTCAGAGTTTAATTCCTTGCCAGTTTCCAGCTGGTTCATCCTTTAATTCCAAGTTGGTGCCATGCAGTTTCCTGGGAGTAAAATCAAATCCTGTGGCTGCAGCCCCTCTAAAAATCATATTTGGGCCTCCAGTGTGTCTCCCTGGTTTTTTAAGATTTTCTAAGCCTTCTGATGTTTACATTCTTGTAATGAACATTTTAATGCACTTTCTGTTAATAATTATTGTTTTGCATTCTTTTCTGCAGGAGTAGAAATTTGATGGACTGTTGGTTTATCAATGTCATTGGACTGGTGGCACTGTCACCCTCCAATCCACTGTCACTTTTGGAAATCTATAAATGTTGGAGTCAGAATTAAACTTGCCTTTTTTTTTACCTTGGAGGGTTGCGTGTCTGCGCCGTTTTATTTCATGTCCTACCGCAACACCAGCGAAGCCAAATTTTCCACTCTATCATAGAAAATTTCTCTTTTATTTTTTTTGCCTTCCAGCCTTAAAAAAAGGACGCTTCTGGATCACCCCCGACCCGTACCACAAGGACGACAACATCCAGATCGGGCGGGAGGTGAAGATCTCGTGCCAGGTGGAAGCCATCCCCCCGGAGGAGCTCACCTTCAGCTGGTTCAAGAACGGGCGGCCCCTGCGCAGCTCGGAGAGGATGGTCATCACCCAGACCGACCCCGACGTGTCCCCCGGCACCACCAACCTGGACATCATCGACCTCAAGTTCACCGATTTCGGCACCTACACCTGCGTGGCGTCCCTCAAGGGAGGCGGCATCTCGGACATCAGCATCGACGTCAACATCTCCAGCAGCACGGGTGAGGAGGAGCTCCGGGCTGGGTTGGTGGGGTGAAGGCACCTCGTGGTTGGTGGGGAGGGCTCCTCCAGGGGCTGCAGGGAGCTGGAGAGGGAACATTCACCAAGAGGTGGTGGCAGGAAAGGGGGAGTGGATCCAAAGGGAAAGAGGGGAAATTTAGGTTGCATGTTGGGAATTTGGAATTCCTGGCTGGGAAGGGTGGGCAGGCCCTGGGAAGGAATTCCCAGAGAAGCTGTGGCTGCCCCTGGATCTCTGGAAATGCCCAGGGCGTGGTTGGACAGGGCTTGGGGCAGCCTGGGAAGGTGGGAGGTGTCCTTGCCCATGGCAGGGGTTGGAATGAGATCAGCGTTAATCCCAAACCACTCTGGGATTCCCTGATCCTTGATCAGGGAATCAGAAAAACAGAGAAATTCTTGGTTTTATTTTCATCC